AACGTGCTGATAATGGACCCCAGTTCTACAGGAACGATGCAGCGGATGCAGTGTGAGAAAAGCATCCTGGATGAACCAGACTCTCCTCTAGAGGTTAGAAATTATAGTAGAAGCAAACCACGACCATCCTAATGTTCAGTACCATGGACAGAGACACGGCATCTATCTATCCATCTATCTATCTATCTATCTATCTTTCTCTCTATCTATCTTGATCTCTATCTTCCTCTCTATATTCCTTTCTATCTTTTTCTCTATTTTTTTTTTTTACTTATGTATATCTATCATGTTTGTACAAGTAAGAATATCTCAATCCGTATTGTTAAAAATATCTCTGTAGTTTCTGTTCAAGTCCCTAAGTGCCGCTGTTGGTTAGTGTGAGGAAAGCGAGGTTCTTTTCCTGAGTGAAGTCCTCCCTCGTCAGTCTGATGCGTTCAGGGCTTTATTATAATCGTAACTATAGACTGACAAAGACGGTCCTCAGCAATGCGCTCATGATCATTTGGTCGAATTTTGACACAGTGGTTTTGTAATTCTACTCGGATTTTACGAAGGCTCTCGTCATGATCGGTGTTCTTTTTTGTGGGACCGAAAGAAAATCATTTTCATGGTGTCAACTGCTTCTCTGCATATGTGTCGCAGAGATGGCTCTCGGGCAGGTCCGTTATTCTGTACCCGAGGAGATGGCTACGGGGTCGGTTGTCGGAAATATCATTCAGGACCTAGGCTTGGATGTTAAACGGATGAAATCTGGGCGGGCTAGGATATTTACCGAGGACGGCAGTGAGTACATTGGTCTTAATGCAGAAAAGGGAACTTTGGTCGTGGCTAAAAGAATAGACAGAGAAGAATTGTGCAAGCAAGTGTCTCCCTGCTCTCTTCACTTTCAAATCATTCTAGAAAATCCAATGGAGTTGCATCGAATTGATGTAGAGATTACAGATATTAATGACAATGCTCCGTTCTTCTCGAAGAAAGAATACAATTTCCAGGTTATTGAATCTGCATCACCGGGGGCTCGTTATTCGCTTGAGAGTGCTAAAGATCCCGATGTAGCACACAACACCATTCAAACATACAAACTCAACCCGACAGATAATTTCAAATTGAACGTTGTCTCACTGCCTGATGGCACAAAATATATTGAAATGGTACTTCACACGTCACTTGACAGAGAAAAACAAGAAGAACATAAATTAACTCTGACAGCATTTGACGGTGGTAATCCTCAGAAAACGGGTTCTGTCAAAATAAACGTGGTCGTTTTGGATGCCAACGACAATGCACCAGCATTCAGTCAGTCCGTTTACAGAGTAACCGTTCCTGAAAACGCTTCTCGTGGCACTGTTATTTTAAGAGTCAGTGCCACTGATAATGATAAAGGAGCAAACGAAGAGGTAGTGTATTCGTTTTCCCAACATACCGATAGCGCATCATCCCTGTTTAATATGGATGCCCAAACTGGGGAAATGACCGTAGTTGGTATGTTAGATTATGAAAAAGCAAAACATTATGAGATAAACATTGAAGCTGCAGACAAAGGAGGGTTGACAGACACAAGCAAGGTGCTAATTGAGGTGACCGACCTAAATGACAATGCCCCTGTCATAAGCATAATTTCCCTCTCCAATCCCATACCAGAGGATTCGGCTCCAGAAACTGTTATAGCAATGCTCAATGTCAAAGACCTGGACTCAGATAAAAATGGCCAAGTTAAGTGTTTTATTAGCAAAGATTTGCCTTTCAAAATCAAGTCTTCATCGACTAACTTCTATAGCCTGATGTCTGACGATGTTTTGGATCGTGAAACAGTCCCGGAATATAACATAACTATAACTGCAATGGACGAGGGTTCCCCGCCTTATTCCACAAACAAGACAATTCATTTAAGAATATCGGACGTAAACGACCACGCCCCAATGTTCCCTCAATCATTTAGCACAGCTTTCATCAGTGAAAATAATTCACCTGGCATGGCACTCCTCTCTGTCAAAGCCAGTGACAAAGACTATGGCAACAATGCACGCATTTCCTATTTCCTTGAGGATAGCCAACTGAATGGAATGTCAGCCTCTGCTTATTTTTCAGTGAATGCAGAGAGTGGAGAGATACTTGCTGTGCGTTCCTTCGACTATGAGCAAAGAAAAGAGTTCCATATTCGCATCAAAGCGCAGGATGGAGGCTCCCCTCCACTCAGTAGCAATGTGACT